AAGTGTGTCAAAAAAAAAAAGATCAGTTAAGGCACAGTTTTGATTTGTAGCAGTCGTTATAAGACATTGTTTAATAAATTAGATCATCATTAGAATTCATTATCAAAGTATTAATAATGCATTGTGGATATTGGATCCATAGTTCCTTATATTATCTGGCAGATAAAGCAGCGGTGTATTGGATCTTTCCACAGTGAGGTTGAAATTACTCCTCCTGGAGATTTGAGGGTCTTTTGATTTCTTCCTGTTATTTCACTAACTGAGGCTAATTAAGTCTTTGTTTTGGCTGATTTTGCGGTGAACTGGTGAATTTGGACTTTTTCAGTCTATTTTTCACTTTTATTATTATAGTGTTTTCTCCAGAGGGGAAAGAAAAAGAAGCACACAGAGCTGGCTGTAGCTCTTTCCTCTCGGTAACCACAGCCCTGTCTTCTGAAATTGTCTCCACATAACTGAGCACTAAAGAACCCACGAGTGCTCAAATTAATTTGATTTGGTACAAAATTGCTTCCCTTGATGCACATGTTACACGCACACACAAGCCGCCCTCCCACACAGAGAGCCTACTCAGTAAGACTCAAAAAAGGTTTTAGCAACAATAACCATGAACTGACATTTTCAGATCCAGTCTTCTTCTGTGGATTCAGTTGATCCTTCCAATCAAATAGCTGATTTCCTCTGCAAGTCGGCTGAACAAATGAGTATTTTTCTGCAGGGCAGCTAATGAGCCAAATGTGTGTGTAGGAAAATGCGGCTTGTTGGGTTTGTGTGCCTGTGTAAACATCATGTGACCCACAGCAAAGATAACTGTGTGACGGTGATATATCGTATTTTGGTCTTTCAACGTGAAGTTTTCCACTTTTTCTAGACTTCTCAGAGTTTAGTTTTGACTCTACATACACTTAACATTCAAAGTAAATAAATACTTTAAGTTTTAGCTTAATATTCCTTTGATGCAAGAAGGTGTCAGGTATCGGTAAACACTTTCTGTCTCACAGGTTATCTGTCACGGTGGCAGTAAAGCCAGCTTACTGTGTTTATATTTAGAGCCGTTAATGAACTCTCTTGATCACAAGCTTTCACACCGTAACTACATTTAAGTCCAATAATGATTTCAACCAATGTGAGCAGCTCTTTGTTAGTCATTTTTGTATATGTTTATATACATCTGAGCTGAAATGATTAATTGATTAATTGATCAGTCAAGTGGTTAATTCTGGAAGTTATTTATCAAGCACTTGGATTAAAGAAAGTATTCAACTGTAGTGCAGAAGGAAGGAAAATATTCAATGTTTCACTGCTACTTTAAAAAGAAATAACATTTTACACTTACACAATTTTATCATCCCCCCCATCTCAGAAATATTTAATTGTAATGATATCTGGATTGTATACATATCTTTAGAAATATAACTGATTAATGGTGCACCACTGTGAGTATGGTGTGCTGTCATGTCAATGCCAGACATTTGCTAGTTACAGCTTCTCAGATGTTATGGTTTGTTTCACCCTGGAGAAATGGCAAAATCGTAATGGGCCTTTTCACCATTTTTCAGAGATTTATTAGACCAACTGAATAATGAAGTTTTCAAAAGATAATCAACAGATTAATTTACAATGAAAATAATCACAAGTTGCAGTCCTGATATCTGTGCATTGTCCTTTGAGCACACAAAATGACCTGTGTGAATCATTTGTCTGCAGCTCACTGTATTTAAATGTGGATGCCACTTAGCCGCCATACAGCAGCATTCATTTAATGTATACTCCAGTAATGTGGTGAGAGCAGCTCTCATAAAGGCAGTGTAATTGAGAGTCAAACGGAGGTCAGACTTAAAAAAATCAACACTGCCGACGTGTCATTGTGACTGTGCTCGAATGTGGTCTCTGGGAGTGTGGTTGAGCATTAATGTGACAGTCACATTGCGAGGACACACGTGTAGAGCTGAAGTGGATAGACGAGTTGTGTGTGTGTGTGTGTGTGTGTGTGTGGAGACTGGGTTGTCCTTTATCTTGTTGGTTTAACCTTGAACACACACAGCGGTGCAGCTACAGAAGCAGGTGGTAGAGGACGTCCAGAATTACAAGGGTGATGGCAGTCTGTAGGTTTTTCCTAAACAAGAACAGCAGGGAGAGACAGACTGATCATTCAGGATCCTCACAAAGCACTTCACACCTCCAAAATAAGATATGCACCACTAATTAAAGCTTGTTACAAGATAAAGACATTATCTTGACTCTATCTCTACTTCAGGAGTCCTTTTTCAGCAAATGCAGCACATTTATACATAAAGTTATTGAAGGTTTTCTTGTTTTTTTGCCAGTTAAAATCTGCATCCCTGCCCCTGTTTAACCTGAAATAAGTCTTTTTCCTCCCTCCTCTTTACTTTTTACTGTATCTCTCCCCTCCTCTCCATCTGAATGACTTCCTTTGTTGCTGTTCTGCCCCATTTCCCTGCATTTTCCTCCATTTTCCTCCAGTTGGTGTCCTGGTGATTGGGTGCCATTGTGTTGGTGGGGGTCATTCAGTTCTAAGTCTTTTGCATATACAGTACAGTTCATGCTGCACAGTATGTGCCTGACTGTGGGAGTTTTTCCTTAGGTGGAAGGGTGTGAGGATGGGTAGGCGGGTTGTTGGATCACAGAGTTCATTTTGGTAAAATATCCCTCTCCTATCTCCCACTCAGCTGTGCTGTGTAATTAGGCCAATCAAACGTGGTCATTACTATTAATTGAAACTGATGATACTATAAGATCCACGTGGAGGAAGCTATGAGGCCAAGTTGTTAACACTCAGTGAAGGGAGAAGGACAAAGACTAGATTATTGGCATTAAATGAGGGAGTTTGTTTTATTTAGTATTTTTTTACTGGGTTTGATTATAGAAAAATCAGATGTCAGACTTTTCTCCAGCACATAAACGAATCATACCAGCTACACAATATCCAGGCTATTACCAAAGTCCACTAATCCACTAATCCTTGGGGCATTTTTCCTCCTAGATTTCAGCCATATCATCCTCCTATCTTCTTTTATTATCAAACTTTGTTGCCAGATGAAACATTAACGATAATGAAAATTATCTGAGGAGAGGTTCACGAAGACTGAGCCAATTAAATCAGTAATAGCCAGTTAATCACATCATTACACATCATGCTTGAATGTTAAAACAACTACAAAAACGTTTTTAGTGCGGAGGCATTTCCTGTTCTTGAAGAAGTGGAGAAAAGACTGGACTGATACTGGAGTCTTGAGACAAATGATATTGATCCCTTATATTTAGTTACTAGAGAATTATGACTAACGCATGTACTGAGTGTGACATTTTAAAGTGGAAAACTTTTCAGTAGAACAGCTTGACACTTTATAAGATACTGCAAACATTTCTGCAATTTCTTGTCACCTATCTGCCAACATATGGCGATACTAATATATCTGCCTTGGGTTGTGATTTGAAAGCATTTAATTAAAACGGAATCTTTTCAAATCCCTTGTCACTTAATTGGGTTTAGCTTTCAACGTTTGTTACTGATCTGTAATCACTCTTTGTTGTCTGAGAAGGCAGAAACTGCCACTGTGAGTGTCAGCCTAATTAATGTTCACAACTCGCTCACCTGAGAATGAGATGAGCAGCAAAAGATACGAAATGTTAATTAAATATGACGCATTCAAATAACATCTGTAGCATATTTACTTTCAACACCTTTATTCATTCACGTTATATGGGTGACATCCTGATGCAGAATTGTAAAGCTAGTGAGGTTATAATACTAATACGATAAGCATAAAATATTTTACTGAAGTTGACGTGAAGGGATCAGTCACCACTCTGATGGTCTTGGTGAACTACAGAAACCCTTGCATACAGTTGTGTTACACAGGGGGGTTTCATTAGGCTGAGTACAAGCACTGGCTTAATGAGACAGACAGCAGATTAAAGTTTCCTTTGAGCTGTTCTGAAATTAATGTTAATTACTTTTATTTAAGTGGCAAAAGCAACAGTTGGTAACAAATAAGAAGAAGCTACCTAAATGTTTTCTACATCGCAAAGAAAAGGAAAAAGGAATTGACTTCCAAAATGGAACAAGCAATTTAACCCCACCCAGATCTGTGCTATGCTAAAAATAGCGAATCGATCAGGCTGTTGTGGCGAATACATTTTGGAGTTTTTTGATGTTCGTGTACAGTTTGTGGGTTTTGTAGATAGGAATTAAAACAGGATTGAACAGGTGGATGTGCTCATTAATGTCACATAGGGAATTCATATACTATGGACTATTAGACAAAAACAACACAATTCAGACACATTCACATTCTACCATCTTTCCACCTCCTCTCCTCTGTGGTCTGTGTCCTGCAGCTCAGACCGCAGCCTCCTGTATCTGTTACCTTCTTAACCCTGATGTGAATTTGAAGGTCAGAGAAAAGTCTGACCAGGAGCTCACATCATAGAGGGCAAAGTAAACGTGGAACACAAACCTACAAACCTTTATACTAGTTTTCCAAATAAAAAAAATATTCTTTAGAAAATCAGGATGACAGATGGTGTTAAATGGACTCAAAGTAATGTGACGATACAAACAGGTGTCATTTGTGGCTGTGTGTGTGTGTG